TCATCGGATAGCGGAAACATTCCCAATCCACTGATGGGTTTGCGTAGCTGAGCCTTGAGTCACGAGAAAACGCTTTCCAAAGTTTTGTACGTAAAAGCTGATATGCTCTTTTCTGTTGTTGATCGTGATGTGCTCGGTTGGTTCCGCTATTTGACAGCTCAATTGGTTCCCAAAATTCTATCCGCCAGACTATGCATATAGCGACTATACTAGCTACACCCTGAAATCAAGAGCAAGAGCCACATGTGAAAAGGGCATACAAGCTTTTTGTAAACAAACCTTTGTAGGCCCTCTTCTCGCCAACCGAGGGTCGCCCACGCAAACTAACAACATCATAGCGAAGGGGAAACCTTCCCCTATTCGGCGATGTTGATGGTTTGCGTTGGTGTCATATGGGTGGCGAGAAAAGGACATAAGAATGTTTATTTACAAAAAGCTTGTATGCCCTTTTCACATGTTGTTCTTGAAATAGAGTTTTCTGACGTTTATCGTATGCAAACTACGTCACGTATACCGTTCCGATTCAAATTTCGGACACTTTCATTTTTAATTAAATATTACATCCAGTTAGAAACAAAGTAATAATGTTAGATGATCGTGGAGGGTACTAGTCAAAAAAATTTAAAATTTACAAGACATGTGGATCATATTCGACCGAGATAATCAACTTTTAAAAGTGTCCGAAATTCGAGTTTAAGTGTCCGAAATTTGAATCGGCACGGTACATACGCAAAATATTTTCATCGAAAAAAAAAACTTCATAGCGAAATTTTTTTCAGATGAAAACAAATCACTGATACAATCACACTTTACCAATCTCTATGTTCTAGGCAGTGATGCTACATATACAGATTTATCTGTAACCATACAGATTTTTTTGTCAATATTTTGATACAGATATCTGTATATACAGATTACAGATTTTTGAAAAATTTGCAGATTTTTTTAATAAGGAGAATATAGTTTTTATTATTTTTGTTTTCTATTTACTTATTCTGATAAATAATCGTTTATTTTTATTTTTGAGTAGATTAAATTCAAATCTGTGAGCATCAAACCCAAAACGAATTTTTCACTAAATAAAATATGATTGTATTATCTTTGAATGGCCTTGGCAGCGGCGCCGGTGGTGTAGTGGTAAGCGTGATTGCCTCTCACCCCAGCAGGCCTGGGTTCAATCCCAGTCGGCACCGTCGGGATGTTCTGAGGCATAACATCTCTGATCACGCCTTCCAGCCGTTGGTCCCCTGGTTCATGAGTTAATGGGTCGATAGGTAGGGTCCAGGTGTGGAAGCTGCCTCCCTGGCGTCGGTAGCATTGGTGCTCAGCACGGAAAACAAGATCGACGGAAAACAAATCAAGGAAAAAAAATGGGCTTGGAATCTTTTGAATGGACTTCTGATGTTCAGATGTTCTGATTTCTCGTTGGAAGGAATATTAGTTTCCCGTTCTTTTTGTTTAATTAACTATGTCATATGGTTACAGATACAATATTTAATTAACTATATTTACATGTCAAATCGGTAAATAAGTCATTTTAGTAAACCCAGGAAATTTTCCGTTTGAAGCAGATTTGTCTCTCACTACAAGTGGAACTTAATGTTTTGTATTTTCTGAATTGTAGAAAAGATACAAATCACTTAAAAATCAAGATTAGGTATAGGATTTTGTGATGAAAAGGCAAATTCTTTAAAAAGCAAACTTTAGTCATTTTTCAAGATTCTAGACATTGAACAAACTTCTTCTGAACTATCAATGAACTCAATGAAGATTTAGGTAAATCCACACTGATAGAATAAATTACAGTACCCGTTCGATTTTGGCAACAAAACCACAAAACCATTCGTTTTTGGCACGGGGTTCGATTTTAGCACCATGCCAAAATCGAATGGATTTTGAAAATAATTTACTTTTGTTCCATGTGATTACGATTTTTAATAAAAGAATAATTATTGATAACGTCTATGTAATAAAGATGACTCACGGTGGTTCATAATCATCGAAATCTGAAATGAAACGAAATTTTCGAGCTTGCTGCCAATATACAGATTTTTTTTGCAGATTTTTGTCAGCCAGATACAGATTAAAAAGATTGTTTGTGATGAAAATACAAATTGAAAATCAATAAAATGTGGCATCACTGGTTCTAGGTGCCACTAGGGAAGTTGTCAGGGCGATTATAGAACAACATCTACTCTTGAAAGGGAGAAGTCGAATTGATTTGCGGTCTTGGGTCAAAATTGTTTTGCATAATTTAATAAATCTATGTCTCAAGTATAGGCAATATCGAGTAATGTGTGAAATTTGGACTAGCAAATGAGTATGAAACTACTGCTTTCCATACATTTCCTATATACAAACTTTAAAGTACTCCCGCAAATCCAGATCGCAACCAAATTCATTCAAATTTGACACAGTTGTTGGAGACCTCAATACACATCGGAAGAGTACTGGGGAGCAGGGAGGTGTGACCGCATATTTAAGTTATTTTTATTTTTCTAGTCGTTGAATCGTAAAATTCATAGTCGAGAATCAGCACTAGACACTGAATAAGCATACACATTGTAAAATAAATACACGTATCTGTCGAGGATAAACGATTAAAGCAGTGGACATAAAGCGTAATAAATACTTAAGACTGTATCGAAAATAAGAATATGCTCTTTACAATTACCATTCAGCATCAGCAATCGGCATTCAATGCCATTCAATAGGTTGTAGTTGCGATCAAGTTGAATTGGGTCGCACTTCGAAAATCTATTTTTTCAGCAAGAATGACATAAAGGGTGTCCACGATGAAATTGCCACACTATGAAATTATTTTTTTGATTTTTTTTTTAATTTGGGTGGATTTAGTTCATAGTGCATTATTTACATCCTGCAAGTTTTAAAGTCCTGTGATCAAAACTTGCGGAAATGGAGTCGAAAGAACAGCTCGTGCGTGATAAAATCTTGCGCATTCATCACGAGAACAAGGATCTCTCGCATCGTTCCATCGCTAAAACGTTGGGAATCGCGAATTCCACGGTGTCGCGAGTGATTAAGCGGTTCGAGGAACGGTTGACCACCGATAGGAAGCCCAGAAGTGAAGGAAAAAGTATTCCGTACAACACCAAAAATCACAACCGCGTAGTTGGGGCCTTCAACCGAAATCCGAACGCCTCCGTTAGGGATGTGGCTAAGAAGCTGCACCTAAGCCGAAGTTTTGTCCAGAAGGCCAAAACTAAGGCTGGGCTTCGAATGTTCAAGGTACAAAAGGCCCCTAATCGCGACGAGAAGCAGAACAAGTCCGCCAAAACCCGTGCCAGGAAGTTGTACCTCAACATGCTGACGAAAGTTGAATGCTGCATCATGGACGACGAAACATATGTGAAGGCCGACTTCAAACAGATCCTCGGCAACCTGTTTTTCACGGCCAAGGATAAGTTCAGCGTTCCGGAGCATGTCCGCACTCAGAAGATGTCCAAATTTGCGAAGAAATTCCTGGTTTGGCAAGCCATCTGCACGTGCGGGAAGCGGAGTGCACCTTTCGTGACCCAGGACACGATGAACGGACAGGTGTACATAAAAGAGTGCCTCCAGAAGCAGCTGCTTCCTCTCCTGAAGGCCCACAACGTCCCAACAATCTTCTGGCCGGATTTGGCCTCATGCCACTACTCCAAGGACGTGCTGAAGTGGTATGCGGACAATAAGGTCAATTTCGTGCCGAAAATGTTCAACCCTCCCAACACTCCGGAGCTCCGCCCCATCGAGAAGTACTGGGCGATTATGAAGCAGCACCTTCTTAAACGACCTAAGGTAGTGAAGACAGTCGAGGAACTGAAGAAAGTATGGGTTTACATGCAAAAAACGGTTGATTCACAGGTTGTGCAGAATCTTATGGCCGGGGTTAAGGCCAAGGTGCGGGCATTTGCGTATGGACTGTAAATAAAATACGAGTAAAATGGTAAAATGAAGTTTAATAGTTATTTCTCAATCCCTGAAAATTTGATGGCAATCGGATGAAAACTCGAATTTTGCGAATCAATTTTGTGTGTGGCAATTTCATCGTGGACACCCTTTACAGAATTTATGTCAAATTAGGCCAAAACAGTTGACTTTTTGTGTTTCCGATGTGTACAAAAAGTGCGAAAAATCTGTTTTGTCATACTGCCCAAAAAGTTTTAAAAGACTAAAATCTAAAATGATAAAAGTACCTAAAATAATAGTTTTTTATTTGTTTTTGTGAAGTTCGTAAGAAAGATAATTGAATATATAATTGAAGAACCTTTTTTCATTTTAAACTATTTTTAAAGGATTTGGAAAGAAAAATTTGGAAATAACTTATTTCGACACAGTCCTTTACTGCCCGTAAATGAAGAGTTGGCACGACATCGAGAAAAAAGCAACTTTAAAATTTTTGTTGGTTGAATAAATTTAAATGCTTACATATATAATCACAGTAGCCATTTTTTCATGTTCAAAGCCGGGGAAATTTGTCAAACGGACATCTGTTCTGGCTAACGTGCATACGTTCTCATTTATCGCGATGTGAATTCTTGCTAGATATGGCAAGATACATTATTTTAATAATACGGAACCACAACATTTTTTTTTTTTTATTATAAAAATTTAACAAAAAACAAGTTTTGAAACCTGAATCATCGGATTCATAACCTAAAGCCTGTGACCACTTGACTATAAGACCATCTTACTTGATGCTCGAAAAATTCCCTATTAAAAACACTTCAGACTCTTCATGCACATTAGATAATTTTGTTTTGGCAATTTTATGCAGTGGGGACTTGACAAGAGTGCCACTTATCAAGTAACACAATTTTCTCGATTTTTACTAAAATGGCATATTAGCCAGTTTCTCATTTATGGGCAGTTAATTCTTCTATATCGTTTTTTTTCAGTTTTTCACTAAAGACGCCAACATTCACCAAAAACAACCAACACAGAAATGCCTTTTTCGCAGGTTTATTCTGAGAAATGAAAGATAACCTTAACTTACTAACCCTATCACTTCCACATTGGATCGACCAGCCTGGTCCTTGAATTCCATCTTGCGTGGCGGAGTTGCAGTTACGTTTGATGCAGTCGGATATCGAACACTCTCTCCTGTCACCGGTCGTTGCTGCGGTTGTCGTTGTTGAACAGTATTGAAATTTAAACTTTTCAAATCACGAATTATATTACTTCCCGAGCTGCTGGGAATTTCATTAAATGATTGTGCACTTGATTCGCGACGACTGTCATCAGAATGTCGATAATGTGGATGATTAAGACTTGCGTTTGAACTATTCGAAATATTACCAACACCATTCACATAGTGTACATTCCTTATCGGATCCGGTATGTTCTGATAAAGCCTTTCTCCCAGCTGACCCATTTGGTTCGCCTGGGAAGCGCGTTCTAGGGTATGGAAGTTAACATAAGTATTTGTGTTCGCAGTGTATTGATGATCCGCGGTCGGAGACATGGAAGATCCGTGTAGAAGATTTTCCTTGGACGTTGTGCGTCGTTGGTATAGTTTGGAGTCCTCTATGGGTTTCAGTTTTAATCCACTCATCGTTTCTAATGTGTTTGCACTGCAGTTAGACTATATGAATGCTGTACACTGTCACTTCATATACACAAAACTGTTATCTAAATATCACTGTTCGCTGAACTCAATTCGTAGCACATTTCTGAAAAAAAAACCGGTCACAATAAGAAACGCAACCATCCGAAGCGTGTAACTTTAACACTGACTCACTATTGATGAGTGTTGTACTGTTTTTTCCATCTTAAAAAGCCCCATACGACCCATTTGTAGAATGCTAATAGAGACGAAAATGAATCGCAAATAACCAAACCGGTCCTGTGTGCGCACAAATCGTAATCCTTCTTATCATTGAAGCCACGTAGAGAATATCGAACCGAAAAAAGTATATCTTCAAAAGCAGATTAGAAGCTCGCGAAACGATCCAAACCTCAGCGAATGCCAACGCGGACTGAAGTCTTGTATGTTTCCCACATGAAAGGCTTAATTCTGTCCACTCCAATTCAGTGGTCAAACGAATGTCTCTCATGTTAAATAAGTATTATAGAAAGAAATCAATTGAAGACGAAGACCGGTAAGAAATTCAAGTTTAGACAAATAAGGTAAACAGCACACGATCTTCTCTTCTTCTCAGCAGTGCACCGCTGGCGAAACGTATGTATTCTGTTTTGTGCCCTTTTACTCTATTGGACTGCACTTTCTTCCAAGTTAGGGCAATGGTTTTTCTTGTTTTCTCCGTCTCTAAAAGCATCATCGTTTGGCGACGTGATTTTATTGCAATGACTGATAATAACGGAATTTATTGTGCTTGCTCGGAATAATAAGTGGCATGGAGTGAGATTGAGATATAACTTGTTTTTTTTTCAGAACTGAACCGATGTACTAATAGCGTATTCAAAATTGTGTTTGCTGTGAACAGATGAATAACAATTTTAGAAGCAGGGCATAGTGAATTCCAGGAACATAAGAACTAAGTTATATAAACTAATGAAATAAAGCAGGTTTACCAGTAGAACATTGTCAGGATGTTACATACTGTTTATTCACAATCAAAGATCCAACCAAAGAATAATGTAATTGCATTCCCAGTGTGAACGTTTTGAAATTTCAGGGCTATACTAGGCTTATAGTAATCGGGAAGGGAAAAAACGTATATAAATCCGAAACGTAAAGGCCTGGAATATCCTTGATTTATTAGGGAATTTCTTAGAAGTCAGTTCAAGCGAGTTGTTGAAAGTGTTCCTATTTTTTAGATTATTGATTTAATCTATTTTTAAGGTGCAAGGCCAAGCAGAAACTTTTCAACAAATTCAATAGCAATTTTTTCGTTGAAAACCAAAATTCTGTGCATGAAAATATGTTCACTATTTTCTACTTGCTAAGAGGAACACTGTGAACACATTTCAGTTTTAAAAGAAAAACCTGAATTTATACCAGGGCTGTGGAGTCGGAGTCGGGCACATTTTAAAACATGAGGAGTCGGAGCCGGAATAATAAAAAAGTACTGTCTCCGACTTTAACCTTCCTAATGCATCTGGAAAAAGTTACACATAGTGCATTAGCGGGTCAAAAAAGACCCAAACTGCAACTCGTTCTCGAAAATCAACCGATTCTTGATCTATTGGCTTCAAATGAAAGATGGCACCCTTTCCAGGATTTCTCCAAATTGTCCATTTAGGCTACCTGGCACCGGTTCCGATAGGGCACAAAAGGACACTTCCAAAACCTCATGAACTGGTACCGTCCGACGGCTCAAAATTTATGATATTTTATTCAGAAGTAAATAGGCATCATGCCATGGACCGACAGGTACATCTGACAACATCTGGATATCCGGAACCGGTTCCGGTAGGACTCAAAAAGGACATTTCGTAAACTTCATGTACTGGTTTCGTCCATCGGCTCAAAAGTTATGATTTTCGGAACCGGTTCTGGAAGGGCCTAACAAATAAACTTCCCAATCCTCATGAACTGGTACCGTCCGACGGCTCAAAATTTATGATTTTTTATTGAGAAGTAAATAGGCATCATGCCATGGACCGAAAGGTACATCTGACAACATCTGGATATCCTAAACCGGTTCCGGTAGAGCCAAAAAGGGATACATCCAAAACCTCATGTACTGGTACCGTCCAACAGCTTAAAATTTAGGATTTTTCATCCAGAAGTAAATAAACAACCGATGGATCTGGTCACATCCGTACACTCAAAACCGTTCTTAACGTACAGCACATCCATTTTCTTCTTCTTTGTAGTTTTACACTAGTCATCCGGAGAAAACAGAACGGGTTCTGGTTTCTGATGATCTGGTATGCGCGTTGGAAATGGTCAATATCCTTTTGCGTTAGAAACCTATCGTGTGACAAATAAAAAAAATCATTTCAATTTCAATTTCATACTAAGTTGTTTGCCCAAAATTACACGTGGCCTTTGAAGCCATAAAAGATGCAGTAGCAATCACAGGATGTCCATTCAAATCCAATTTTTCAATTCCCGGTTTTCCCGGTTAATTATTAATAAACCCAACTCAAACATATTGCTTAAAGATTGCTTGATACTTTACCACAGTGACAGACATAATATGAAAGTTGTAAACAGATGTGTAAACAAGAGAACATAATGGTGTATGTGATATAAACTTGATTGATTTCAAGTAACATTGTAAGTTTTATAAAGGTTTAAAGGAATCTTCAAGACCAAATTATGGCCAACAAGACTATGCTAAAACCAAATTGGTACTTGGAATGAGTATATATGATCTTTCCCGGTGCGATTTGGGTTCTCCCTCATTTTTCTCGGCAAATCCGGATTCCCGGTTTTTGACGTAGGACTCCGTCATGAGCGAGCTTTATCGGTATTCATACCGATTTTTGAACTTGATACCGATATACCGATAAGGTTTCTCAGAATATCGATTTTTGAGGTTTATACCGATTTTTTAATAATCAAAACGATTATTGCCTGCCCGCGCTGAACGGTCAGAAGAAACTATTGTGAGATGCTTTATCTCTTCGAATTTCCAGCCTGTCTCATATATAAAAATGTCTTATGCTTGATACTCCTTCGACTAATGTTTTGATTTACTTAACTTTCTTGGCTACCCAGGAATCGAGCAACAGCTGATGGCTCATTTCGGTAAATCCTGGGACTCGATGAACAAATAGGTCCATCAAAATGTTCATCTTTTATCTTCCTGATATTTATTTAATATTCTCGTAGAAGTTTCTTCCAACTTTTCCCTGAATGTTATTTTCCGATTCCTGCCAGAAAAATAATTTCGGCTTCCCTTATTCTGGTTTCTCTAGAAAAATTCTTCCGTTTTTTCTCACCAGTTTGTTGTTCAACTTCTCCGGGATTTCAGGCTTTCAGAGTGTTATTGCGGTTCCATTAGGTTCAAGAAAATTACAGGAACTTTAAAGAAGATCTGAAACTTCAGAAAAGTCTAGAATTTAGTGAAAGTTTAATGATCTGTGAGGGTATAATAAATTAAAAACAGATTCATAAAATTCTGCTGAAATTCAAGAACCCTGGAATTTCAAGAAAGTTCAGAGGACTCTAATGAACCAGACATAGTTTGGAAACTTATCAAGTCCAACGAACTTCAGGGAAATTTAATAGTTTTCGGAACAGTTCCATTTGTATCAGGACAATTAAAAAAGTTTTTGGGAAGCTATGAGCACATCAGAACAGATCAAATAATTTCTATAAAATTTATGAAACTTTAAAAGATATATGAACAATTCAGGGTACTTTGACTATATGTTTTAGTATTACTTCTACGTGAAGTCAACAATTTACATAGTTGAAGATGCTAATTTCAAATAACAGACTGTAGTGGTAATTTTTATACGAAAGCATAGAGTTGATAGTTCCGTTAGAGTACGGCAGTGTGAAGATTGCATATAGATATTAGAATAGTGAGCTAGGACAACTTTTAAGGAAGGTACAAATCGGTTTTTTCATCTCTCTTTATCAAACTTCCCCTTTGAAGAGGGATGATGAGGGGTGTCCCCCCCCCCCCCAGTGGTCGTATAAAAATTACCACTACAGTCTGTTATTTGAAATTAGCATCTTCAACTATCTAAATTCAGGGTACCTATTTCCGAAAATCTTCAACAAAATTCCGAACATTAGAAAATTGTGAGATCATTTTAAGGGAAAGTCTGTGCTTTTTATGGCAGTATCGAGAACTTTTAAAAATAATTAAAAAAAAATCGGGATGGTCAGGGAGCTTCAATTTTGATGTTTCATTAATTTCAAGATAATTGTGAGATTACTTAAGAAGTTCTGAAACCTTCAAAAAATTTCTTCAAAGAAGCTTAGAGATTTTCTGGTAGTTTCATTGTAATCAGAGAAGTTCCAACTACTTCGAGGATGAAAACTTCAAAAACATGACCCCGCTATGTAAGGAACTTCAGGAAATGTTGTACTAACATCTCCAAGAAATCTCTTTCTTCCGAAATTTGTACCCCAATTTTCCTTGAAGATTATTAGCCGTCTGGCCTCCGACTATCTCCAGAAGTTTCTTCAAGCGCCTCCAGGAAGCTTCTTCTGTCTTCTCCAGGAAGGTCAATTAAACTTCCACCGAATGTATCAACATAATTCTCCCAGAAGCGTCTTTCATCTTTCTCTGAAAGATTCTCCATAAACCATTATCCGTAGATTTTTTTCCGACTTTTATTGGAAAGTTTTTCTGAGCTTCATCTGGCTTCTCCTGGGAATGGCTACTACTGGAATTTGTTAACGATTTCAGAATCTTTTCTGGCCTCCTCTGGATGTGTCATCCGATTTTTTTCCAAAAGTTTCATAGAATTTTCGCCAGAATTTTCGCAATATTTGCCATGAAAGTTGGATGTTTTTCCGACTTTTATAAGAACTTTCTTCCAACTTGCTCCAGAAGAGATTCTTTATTCTTTCTTTGAAAGTTTTGTCGGCTTCCTTTAGAAGCAAATTCAAACATTATTTAGAAATTTCTTCCGATTTCTCCTGCAAAGCGGTGCATACTAAGGAGCATTTTCAAATGCTTAATGTACAGTTTTCTTTATTTTAGGGAGCGTACTTTAAATATTTACTGAGAATTTTAGGATTTTTAACGTATTTTGATCAATCATTTAAGGAGCAACCCGATCTATTTTAAGGAGATTTTTTTTACTTATTAAGGATAATTT